ACATCTGAAGCTCCGGCAAAGGATGCTGGTATCGCATACTATGCCCAAGTTCCCTCCACCTCGGAGCACTACAAGATGCGCTTCGAAGCCGGTCTCACACCACCACCCACGGCAGAGATTGCAGAGATCGGGCTAAAGTCGAGCGTATACTGCGTCGTTGCTAGGGACACGAGCACAGCGAGCAAGGAAGCCATCGGAATGGCCCGCGTCGTAGGAGACATTACCATGAGCCTGTTGATCGTCGACGTGTGCGTCTTGCCAACGCACCAACACAAAGGCATAGGTCATCGCATCTTTCAACATCTGCTCGCCTGGGTCGATGCCAACTCGCCATCCGCTTTTCTCTCTCTCAGCGCGGATCCTCCTGGAATGAAGCTCTACGAGAGGAATGGTTTCAAAGTCACTCCCAACGAGACCGGCATGCAGAGGCTGGGGCAGGATATAGAGAATAGGCGCCGCTTTGCGAGGGAGCAGAGGGCAAAAGGCAGAGAAGGAGAAGGAGAATGAGAATGAGAAGGAAAGCTCTGCTGAACAGCAGTCAAGCTCGACAGCTTAGTCACCCTGCGCGTCGCTCGCTCGCTCGCTCGCTCGCGAGCGTGGTGCGCGACAATGGCCGGTCCATGGGCTTTACTCAATGCTACCTTGCGGCACACGCACGCCACGTCGTTTCTCGGTGTATTTTTGACGTCGAGCGCGGTGTTTGAGAGGAGCTGCTGGCTGGATGGACGGATCTGTAGGGCGTGCGTTGCGTTGCGTGCGTGCGTTGCACCCCCGCGCCTATAGTCAACATTGCAATCACGTGCATCACGCGCGGATGCGCACGGCCCGCGGCTTGCTGATGCACCTGCTGCATGACGTGATATCCCGCCAAAGTGACGTGAACACTCACGACTGGCGCGCGTGTGCAAACAAGTAACTCGCTTTGACCACGCCCCCCATCTCGCTCGTGACTTCCATGGCTCGTCATGGTTGCGTTGATGCTACCGATGGCTATCCACAGTGTCTGCTGGTGGTTTGCTGCTGGTGGATTAAAAAGTGCGACACAATCAAAGAGTCACGAGTTGCGCGCTTTCAGGCTGCTCACCACCGCCATCCTTCTCCAGCGAATCAACACTCGCCATGTCGCTCGCATTAGACAGCGCCACATCGCCTAGCACGCATGCCCGTGACCCCTCCGAGCAAGCATCCGCAAGGCTCATCACCGGCGAGGCTTCTTACCAACGCAAGCTGAGCATCCCCACGCGACAAGGACGCCAACTCGTCAGCTTTCCTCACATTTTGCAACCAGAGCAACCCCGTGACACAGCAGTCGATCTTGCGCGATTCTTGCAGACCGCAAAAGAACTGTCGCAGCAGCCAGCGGGTGTCCAGATTAGCAACCACGATGCTGATCAGGTGCGTATGCGCGTGTGCGTGTGCGTGCGCGAAAATACGCCGATGCCTGCTGACCCGCGCGCCTGCTGACCCGCTCTAGTCGCCATTGCGGCACCTCCTGACCGCTGCGGGAGGTGTGCTCAAGTTCGAAAAGACACCGTTGAGAAGCGCTCATGACTTTTCTGATTTCATGCACAACCTCGCAGCCGGCACCGGTTGGCTTCCGCACGTCGACAAGGGCCTGATGGTACTTCGCAGGCCTCACGCGAAAAACGTCGCTACCGCAAATGAAGGGCCTCCTACTCAGGCCATTGGCAGTCACAACGAATACGGTCTCTCTTCTCACTACCCATCCTACATTGCCTTTTTCTGCCTCGCCAGTCCCGACACAGGCGGCCAGACGCCCATCGCGTCGAGCTTGAGGCTGTACGAGCGCTTCGAAAGCGAATTGAACGCGTATCTGCAGGCCATCACCAAGAGAGGCATCGCTTTTGCCATCCATCATCCCCGTGGGAATGTAGAGGGTCACGTTGGCGGCAACAGCGTATTCAACGCCAACAGCTTTGGCCCTAATGAGCAAGGTGCTCTGCAGCCAGAGGTGCCATTTGCACAACTGCCCGAGGAGAGCAAAAGGGCAATCGTAGAGGAAAATGTGCGGGCATTGGCACGCGAAGGTGGCTGGGACGAGTCTGCATCTTTGGACGATGAGAGCGTGGCGGTGTGGAAACGAAGGGGCTACTCGGGTCACTGGATGCCAGATGGATCGTTCATCGTAGTGCAAAGGACGCCGGGTGTGAGGATCCACCCGATTTTTGGCGTGCCGAGCTACTTTACCAATGTGCACACGCGCTTCATTTACGCTGGAATCGACAAGGCAGGACAACAGATCAAGCCTCACTGGAGAAGAAATCTGTTGGACCTGGTGCGAGAGCAACAAGCCGAGCAGTCTTTAGCCTCTCCCTTTCAGCTGCCCGCATACATTGTTGGCAACACCACACTGGAAGATGATACGCCGTTCGACCAGGAGTGGATCGAGGAGAATTTGCGCATCACTGCAGAGGAGCAAGTCGACGTCAGTTGGAACGTGGGCGATGTGCTCTTGATTGATAATCTTGCGGTGCAGCACGGAAGGCGGCCATGGGAGGGGGACAGGAGGCTTTTAGCGAGCTTGTGGGACTCTCCATTCCTTCAGCGCCACTCTCGTGTCTGAGCGTTGGCGTTGGTCGCATTCGTGTTCAAGATTTCAGAAATGATGACGTGTATTACACTCACAGTGCCTGCTTTTGCGCTCGTAAAGGCGGAGATGTTTACCCTTTCCACTTTGACTCGTCGCGATGATGTGCCTCCACTTGTGTTGGACAGCTTTTCCGAAAGCTCCATCGCGTGCGCGCGCGCGCG